CCCCCCCCCCCCCCCCCCCCCCCCCCCCGGTACCGTGTGAGTGTTACCCAATCATCACCTCACACCTGAAACCAAACACTGAATACAAGAGGACCGAGGCTTTGCTTAGATCTCACATTGATCATCTAATAAACCAACAACTGCATTATTTTACCTTAATAAACAAATCAATCCACCGGCACACAGGATGATGTTTAGACTACAGTAAAACATCAAAGCTGTCACCATAACAAAATTAAATATTATGATTATCACTGTACATTTATGTGTTTCTAGTTATTTGGGCTCGACAATGTTTTTCATTTACCAAAAACATAGTTGCCTCGGTCCTCTGGTCTGCTAACCCAGTTCCCAAAGAGCACCGTTGGGACTTGGGACAAGCTCCGGTCTGAGCATATTAGTGATGAAGGTCAGATTTTGGTGCGATGACATGCTCAGTGGCAGAACCGATGTGGGTCCGGTGTCAGACTGGTGATTGGCTGAGAGGAGAGGAGATGGTCCCGCAGGCCTCTGGTCCATCAATGCCGGTGCCTGAACAAGGCTTCCACTTGAACACAAATCAAAGTCCAAAGTTAGAGAGAAATGCTCCTTTTATCCAAATAGACAAATCATTTTGTATGACTAATGCAATAGAGCCTCAGGGTTTAAAGAATTGTGATTATTATAATGACATAAGTGTAGTCTTTTATTGCCGTACATAAGAAATGTACCGGAGCACACTGCTCTCTAACGCAAGATGCAAAACTAAAATGATCCACATTGGACTCATATTTTACAGCAAAAAATTTTAGATAATTCAACACATCGACATTATGACTCTTATTTCACGTTGCGAAACTACTTGGGTAGGGTTAGGAAAAGTTCAAGGGTTCGGTTCAAATAGGTACGTTAGTACATAGTACGTAACGAGGTAACGTTACGTACTATGTACTAATGTTGTTACATACTAACATATTTACACACGTTACGTACTAACGTATCTACGTACTAACGTCCTTACATAGTTACATACTAACACATTTACAACAGTAACTTTCTAACGTTGTTACGTATGTTACAGACTAACATAGTTACGTACGTAACTTAAAAGAACTCAATGAGTTGACTTATAAAGCCTAATAGCTCATAAATATCTCATGACTGTCCAAAAGTTCTGAATTCTTACTTGTGTACTCCTGAGGGGACATCACAGCATTCATGACATCATCGAAGTGTTTCAGCCAATCCTGCTGCTCGCTCTCTGACTCGCAAGTAAACAGGAAGCTGCGCTCTGGTGTCTTTATGGTGATACCGTGTTGCCAGGCGCCGTTGCAGTGGGTGCCAGCAGGCAGGCCGGGGGAGGCGCTGTAACCGTGGTCCTTGTTCCCCAAGAACACCTCACCTTTGGCAAAGGCGTCCTTCAAAGAGACGGAGAGTGAGAGAAACGCAGGTGAAATGAGATACTTCTGAGTTTGAGGCACAGTGACAAAAGGTTTAGTGCTTGTCTCAGCTCCCAGGACTAGCCTAGCCTAGCTACATGGCTCGTGGGATGGTAATGTCTTCCGTCTTCCTCTTTGGTCCAGACTGAGATATTTCAACAACTACCGGATGGATTGTCATCCATTTTCATACACACACTGATGGAAACAATAGGACGAATCCCATCGACTGTGGTGATCTCCTGACTTTTTGTGGTGACGTTTTTTGGCCCCAATTTACTTCAGTTCATCAGTGTTTTGGATTCTTTGTTCACCGTGGAGGCATGCGAGAAAAACTCACTCCGGGTGAGTATTTGATATTCAACGGTCATTTTCGGGATAAAGTTCCTTTAACTTTGTTCTGAAAGGTGACCCCACTAATCACCTCAAATAGATCTCTGTGTTCAGCAGAAGTGTGAACAAACTGCTCTTCAATGCACAGTGAACCATTGAACACACAACATCAACCATGTGATCAAACTACACTTTGAGCTTCCTCCACATATTCCCAGTCCACGCTCAACTTCACGAGACTTCCTCTTGCTTTCTCATCTGCCAGTGTTTCTTGTCTAACTCTCTCGGGGTAAGTCGGGCATTTCGGTCACCTACAACCGTTGCACCTCTCCGTTGGACTATTGCATCAGCCACAATGCTGAGCTGTCTTAGCTATCTGATGAGTATTTAGCCAAGTCTTGGGCAATCTGAGCCGCCCCCTCTCAATGCAAGCCTCTGTGATAAAAGCACCACTCCCCCTCTTTCAATGACTCAGAATCACACTTTATCAACGTCTCTGCCTTTCAAGCGCTGATATCACATAAATGAAGTTGTTTGTTGAAGTGTTTGATGTATCTTACAGAATGAAGCTAGTGTTCAAAACACAGCAATCCGTACTGTAAGGTCATAGCACTAAAGCCACATGTATAATAATCTTGTGTATGAATGAAAGGACCTTATATCACCCTCTTACCACTGAGTCACAACCCGAACATCATCTACTTAATCTAACTTGCTTAAGGAAAGAGGAACCCTTCCACTCTCCATGGTGTTAATTCATATCAAGACGTTGTTGGTTGTTACAAAATCAACTGAAGACTTGAAAGAGAAACTGATTCTATTCGGAAGTCTTCCTGACGTGCGTGGGCGTGTGTGTAAAAAGATGCCATACCAGCGGATCTTTGAAGTACATGAGTCGCCTCTGGTCGAGAGTGAACCAGCGTTTCTTGAAGCCTTCCGTTTGCTGGAAAGACAAAGAAGTTGACAGAGACAGTCAGACATGAGGTGAGACAGACAGACATGAGATGAGACAGTCAGACATGAGGTGAGAGAGACAGACATGAGGTGAGAGAGACAGACATGAGGCGAGACAGACAGACATGAGGCGAGACAGTCAGACATGAGGCGAGACAGACAGACATGAGGCGAGAGAGACAGACATGAGGCAAGACAGACAGACATGAGGCGAGAGAGACAGACATGAGGCAAGAGAGACAGACATGAGGCAAGAGAGACAGACATGAGGCAAGAGAGACAGACATGAGGCAAGAGAGACAGACATGAGGCAAGAGAGACAGACATGAGGCGAGAGAGACAGACATGAGGCGAGACAGACAGACATGAGGCGAGAGAGACAGACATGAGGCAAGAGAGACAGACATGAGGCAAGAGAGACAGACATGAGGCAAGAGAGACAGACATGAGGCAAGAGAGACAGACATGAGGCGAGAGAGACAGACATGAGGCGAGAGAGACAGACATGAGGCGAGACAGACAGACATGAGGCGAGAGAGACAGACATGAGGCGAGAGAGACAGACATGAGGTGAGAGAGACAGACATGAGGCGAGACAGTCAGACATGAGGCGAGAGAGACAGACATGAGGCAAGAGAGACAGACATGAGGCGAGACAGTCAGACATGAGGCGAAAGAGACAGACATGAGGCGAGAGAGACAGACATGAGGC